TAAGGCTCTTGAAGAAAAAAAGAGCTAATTGTGATTAGTGTTCCTAAAATATATAAAATACCGTACCTAAGTACCTACCGTAGCCTGATCTTCTGTATGATTTATAAATTAGTTTATTTGTAATATTATTAGCAGTCGTAGTGGTATAAAATCGTTATATTAAGGGAGTGGATGGGATATTGGGGTCCCAGGCTTGTCTTTCTATTACTTGGTCCAACAGGCTGTTGCTCGCAGAGGCCGGCTGATCCAGCCACTTGTCCGTTTCTTTAACATGCACACACACAGGTCCTCCAGAAGCTGGAACCCCAGACCTAGATCTTCCTCCCCCCCCCCCCCACGAAGACCAGTAAACAGAAACTCACACCGTGAAGATGCAATAATTTCCAGCCAATCACCTTCAGCCCCGGTGCTAACAAGCTCAACTAAGCAAACAACGCGAGCGTAAAGCAAACAAACCATTAACAAGCGATACACGGCCAATTTGCATGCCAAGTGAATCATGGCCAGGACACGGGGGGGGGAGGGAATTAATTGACCGCCGACTTCACACACGATGACGTCACACCGGCGTCACGTTTACACGATGACGTCACACCGGCGTCGCGTTTACACGATGACGTCACACCGGCGTCGCGTTTACACGATGACGTCACACCGGCGTCGCGTTTACACGATGACGTCACACTGGCGTCGCGTTTACACGATGACGTCACACTGGCGTCGCGTTTACACGATGACGTCACACTGGCGTCGCGTTTACACAATGACATCACACTGGCGTCGCGTTTACACGATGACATCACACTGGCGTCGCGTTTACACGATGACATCACACTGGCGTCGCGTTTACACGATGACATCACACTGGCGTCACGTTTACACGATGACGTCACACTGTCACCCCCACAATTACTATCCACAACATCACCATCACTAATCACCCAGACATACACGCACACACGAGGTATTAAAGACTCTTGCCCACAAAAGACTGGTGCCGTGGACGGAGTAGCCAGCCGGGATGACTGGAGACTGAACTAGATAGGTAGGGATTACCTGTAGGACAGAAAACAGTCACAGTCGAAGACGAGGTTTTCGAGTTTGATGAAACCAACATGAGGGTCGGTTCTGGGACCCCAGAAACTGCTATTATTTATGTGAATGACGCATCTGAGGACGTGAGATCGTACATGTTAACGTTTGCTCACGACGCAAAGCTCATGAGACGATGTTGACCAGACCACACACTAGAAGGTGAAGGGACGACGACGTTTCGGTCCGTCCTGGACCATTCTCAAGTCGATTGTGAGAATGACTTGAGAATTGAGATTGTGACTCACAATCGACTTGAGAATGCTCCAGGACGGTCCGAAACGTCGTCGTCCCTTCACCTTCTAGTATGTGGTCTGGTCAACATACTTTAGCCACGTTATTGTGACTCATCGCCTGCTCATGAGACGAGTCAAAACAGAGGACAAGTGATGAAGATAACACGATGATATCTTCAAGGGCGGGCACACATGGGGCTGCTAGAATTCAATCGCACCCAGTGTGATCCCACCTTGCTTCTCTGTAGAGGTTGATGGGTTAGTTCCATCCCCTACCATGCCGGCCGGCCGAGCGGACAGCACGCTGGACACATGATTCTGTGGTCCCGGGTTCGATCCCGGGCGCCGGCGAGAAACGATGGACAGAGTTTCTTTCACCCTATGCCCCTGTTGCCTAGCAGTAAATAGGTACCTAGGAGTTAGTCAGCTGTCACGGTCTGCTTCCTAGGGGTGGAGGCCTGGTCGAGGACCGGGCCGCAGGGACACTAAAACCCCAAAATCAACTCAAGATAACCACAAGATAACCTACCATCACCACTGCCAGGACGACAGCCTTCCCACGTCGCCAGTGACACACGACGAAGGTCCGCTATCCAAGATGTCACAAACTCACCTGCTATCACTCTGTGATGCAGCCTCCGTCACTCACGGGTTAATATAATACCTATAAAGTATGAGCCGGAGCCCAAGGACTGTAGCTCAGCCCACGGAAGTAACTATGCACGAGCACATACCGTAACTCTGCTCGACAGGCCATTAAGTCATTATCGTTCCTCTCTGGTCGAGTATTGTACATCGGCGGCCTGTCTCCCCAGTCACGTCATTAGCGAAGTTAAAACACGGTGACTTAATGGGTGGTGTTGATTGTTAGGGGTTGGGGGGGGGGTGGTTCGGTGAGAGGGGGGAAGGGCGGGCGGCTAGTTCGGTGAGAGGGGGGGGGGGAAGTGGGCGGGTCAGTAGCTGGTTGTTGTGGAATCTTTAACGAAAAGTCAATCTAACTGAACAATTTACAATCCACAAATTGTATGTTACGAACAAATTCAAATTTGAAAGTTGTTGTTACACTTCACAACCACTACGAATAGAGGCGTTTTAATGTCAGAAAAAATAGTGTGGTGTCCTCACCTGTCCTCGTCCTCACTCTACTGGGCCGTCGGATGGGACGCCCCTCGCCACGACCGTTGCCAAGTAAGTCTTATACGTTGCCAAGTAAGCCTTATAACAATTTATCAAGCTCCTTCTGGTATTCTTACATTATTGCTAAATTGAGTGGTACATTAGTTAATTATCATTAAATGAAACGATTACGCTTCCTCGGAATGGCATGCGTGAGAAATTGTTATAAGAGAGTGTTCTCTAGCCTAGTTTTTTTTCCGCAGGGATATTCCTGCGCGGCCCTAAGCCTCTGGCTGGCCCACTTAGTGTTGCTTGTTTCTGTTTTACTTGGGCGGAGTATGAGTATTTATGACTCGTATGGTCGCTTCAATAAGATTTTGCCATATGTGTTTAACAACTTCTGCTCTGTTAAATCTAAGTTGAAATCTTAATGGGTTTGTAACTGGGCACTGTGTTAGATAATGTTCCAGTGACCTGTCGGGCATTTCTCCACAGTGCTGACATTTCACTCTAGCCTAGCTGATTGATGATAATGATCTCTGGAATTTATATAAAAAAAACTCCCAAACTCTTCTAATCTTTTTTTCAGAATTTTATTTTATGGAATATTGAACACACCCGTTAATTTTCCTGGTGAGAAGCATAATTAAAATTGCATTGTAAAATACTTAATAAGAGTTTGGAGACGAGCAAAACTAGGTCATTATCTTAATTATTTAATATATAATAATACTAGGTGTATTATCTTAAGTTGTCACCCGCAATTTAGAGTCTCATAAGGCGAGAAATGTGCCAGAGGTCACAACCTCTCCGTAGGGTGCAGTCGCACCTCCACAGATCTCCAGTATCTGCTATTGATACTGGTAATGGCTCTTAAGAGCCACCACTTACGGGCTATTCATGCCCGTACAACCTTTTTGGTGGCTTAATCTTCATCAATCAATTAGTCAATCGAGAAATGTGCGGGCCTTGTAAAATATGATTGACGTGCCAGTGTCATGGATTCTCATATTTAATAATAACCAACAAAAGATTTATATGTAATAATCATTAACTAAATATGTAAATTAATACTGTTTAATACAACAGTGGGATGATTTTCCTCTTGTTATGAGTTGTGGGAAAGTGGGGGGGGGGGCACTGGGAGGTTATGACAGTGAAGGGGCAGTGGATAGTTAGGTGTTGTATCATACAATATACAAAAATTAATAAACAAACTTGAAATACATCAGCAATAATGATAATAATAGTAATAATTAAATCTATAATCGTTGACAAATGAAAAAAACTGAACATAGTGTAGAGTATAAGTGAAACTAAAGACTTTATAACGATGCAATAAATAAAAAAAAGACTTGAAATATTGTTTACATGAATCTATGTTAAGTCCAAGACGTTGTTTTATGTGGAGGACGACCCAGATATCTGCAGCGGCCAGTCCTTATAGCGTCCTAAGGAACAAAATATCCTTGCTACTACTGGTGCCAGCTCGATCATGGTTCAGAGTGTCATTTCTCCAAGGTTCTGGGTATCAAGAAATGTGTCTGAGTGTAGCAAGCAAGAAAAGTCCAGGGTGTTACAGGTGACATGAGGAACTTTGCTGTGGGCCCCCCTGAAAACCCTGGAGAGCCCTCAGCTCTCTCAACAGAAAACGGGAAAGACAAAACAGACGTCTCCGCCTATCTCTGTATAATTTGTCGTGAGGAAAGGAAATGTCACACAAGAATTCCCCCTTCCCTCGTTCCCCCTAATCTTTATCATTCCTTCCTTTCCTTCCTCCCTGAAGAGGCGGGAGGAGAACGGAGGCAATATTCTACGAGGTGGGGCGATGACCCAAATCAAGTGAACACTTTGCCGGAAAATAAAATCCTATTTATCCACCTGACGGGGAATCGAACTCGATGTCGCGGGTATTCGGGGCAATAAAACTGAATCCGCTATGCCAGCAAGCTTAGTGAAGCGTCGCTCCACTGCACGCTGCAGCCAAACTCCCACAAAGTCCGCAGTAGCGCCGCAAAAGTAACGGCTTGGGGAGGGGGGTGGCGGAGAGAGAGAGATGTGCCAGTATAATCCGAAAGGGTAAACTGTTATAATCCGTCCTTACGTTGTGTGTGGAAATTTTAGGGAGGTAAACAGGATACGTCCTTGTTCGCCGGAGGTTTATGGAGAACAGGGCCAGGGTAGACAGCTATAAAAATAAATACACAAGTTTACCCTGGAAAGGCCGTGTTGTTAAACAGAAGATGTAACTTTCATTAACTGCTAAACAGCCGACTGGGCTTTAATCCACCAGATAAATGGAACTAATACTGTTAAAAACTTAAACACTACGGGCTCACCATAGTCCGTGCTACTTGGAACTTTGTTCCAGGTAGCGAATCTTTAACAACAACGTTAAAAACTGTTAAACAGCATTGGTTAAACGAAGTCCCTTTCTGTTAAATGACCAGCTAGGGGGGGGGGGGAGGGGATTCAATCAACATCCTTACTGTTCAATAGCTAAAAGAGCATTAATCATCTTAATCCTCTCCTGTTAAGATCCCAAGACAGATCACCATGAACATGAGCGGAGGCATCGCTTGCCGGAAGAATCTCAGACGGGAACCTCTTCTTAGCTCTCAACTGTCGCGTGATGATATTTGGGACGATACTTGGGAGGCTGTACATGTCAGAAAGTCGATGGACGACGCGTGTGACTAGATGGGTACACGTCAGAAAGTCGATGGACGACGCGTGTGACTAGATGGGTACACGTCAGAAAGTCGATGGACGACGCGTGTGACTAGATGGGTACACGTCAGAAAGTCGACGGACGACGCGTGTGACGAGATGGGTACACGTCAGAAAGTCGACGGACGACGCGTGTGACGAGATGGGTACACGTCAGAAAGTCGACGGACGACGCGTGTGACGAGACGGGTACACGTCAGAAAGTCGATGGACGACGCGTGTGACGAGACGGGTACACGTCAGACAGTCGACGATCTACGCGTGTGACGAGATGGGTACACGTCAGAAAGTCGACGGATGACGCGTCTGACGAGACGGGTACACGTCAGAAAGTCGACGGATGACGCGTCTGACGAGACGGGTACACGTCAGAAAGTAGACGGACGACGCGTGTGACGAGACACGTCAGACAATCGACGGATAGGGGATCTATGTTGTATCTAACGACAGAAGCCAACCTAGAAGGAAAGGTCTGCGAGTTGCATTTATAAATCTCTAGGAAGAATATATATATATATATGAACCTTGTAGCAACAGACTTAAAAGGAAGAACTTACTGACATTTAAGGATGTAGCTAACACCTCTACACCGTCCTCTTACAGGTCCAGGGACCAATTGAATTCTCCGATTGAATTTCTCCCCAGCCTCTCCTGGCAGCGTATTGGAAAAAAATTATCATACCGTAACTGTTACCTTCTTCTAAGTTAACTTTGCCAATTATTACTTAAACATTACATTAATTAGTTATCCTACTGGCTATGCAATACTTAATATATGCAAGGTCTCGAACATAGCCAGTAGTTCACATTCTTAAATAATCGTGTCGCCGGCAGCGCCGTAACTTCCCGAAGTCGCCTAACGAACTTTCTCTTTGCTTTAGTTTCTCAAGTCATTGTTTCTCTCCAAATGGTCCACCTTGTGTCGTAACAACACCCAACAAATTCTTTCTAATGTCTCTGTGGCTCATTTGGGTACTGAGTTTCCACATTGTGCGACTACGACTCATGTTAAACAATGTTTTTACCCGCCCTATCAATTCCCCTGAGAATTTTGCATGTGGTAAACGTGTCTATCTTAACTCTTCCGTCTTCCAGCGACGTGAGGTTTAATTCACATAGCCTTTCCTTGTAACTCATACCTCATAGTTCTGGAACTAGTCTGGTGGCACATTTCTGAACCTTCTCCAACTTCGTCTTGTGCTTGGGTAGGTATGAACTCCACGTTGGGGCCGCATATTCCAGGGTTGGTCTGACGTATGTGAGGTTATCTTGAGATGATTTCGGGGCTTAGTGTCCCCGCGGCCCGGTCCTCGACCAGGCCTCCACCCCCAGGAAGCAGCCCGTGACAGCTGACTAACTCCCAGGTACCTATTTACTGCTAGGTAACAGGGGCATCAGGGTGAAAGAAACTCTGCCCATTGTTTCTCGCTGGCACCCGGGACCACAGGATCACGCGTCCAGTGTTCTGTCCGCTTAGCCACCGGCTCCCACATTAGCTCAAGAGTTAAGGAACCTTGGGAGCCGGTCGGCCGAGCGGACAGCACGCTGGACTGTGATCCTGTGGTCACGGGTTCGATCCCGGGCGCCGGCGAGAAACAATGGGCAGAGTTTCTTTCACCCTGATGCCCCTGTTACCTAGCAGTAAAATAGGTACCTGGGAGTTAGTCAGCTGTCACGGGCTGCTTCCTGGGGGTGGAGGCCTGGTCGAGGACCGGGCCGCGGGGACACTAAGCCCCGAAATCATCTCAAGATAACCTTGTGATGTATAAGGTTCTGAATAATTCCTTACACTATTTTCTAAAAGCAGTTGTGATCTGGTACCTTGTGTCCGGCCTCCTGTTCTCTCCATCTAGTTTCATTACGTTTACATTTACCCAAGTTAAACTCTAGCAGCCATTTCTTGGACCATTTTTTTTCAGTTTGTCCAAGTCATCTTGTTGCTTGTTCCTGTCTCGCGTGTTCCTCCTCTTGTTCCTGTCTCGCGTCTATTGACAGTCATCTTCAAATTCTCAAACCGACTGAATCCTATGCCTTTACTGATGGCTCTGTGCAGTTAGGCACTGGTAGAACAGGTTGTGCATGTGCAGTGTATAAAGGGAATGAAATGATCATGACTAGTACACAGAGATTGAACAACTGGGCAAGCACGACACAGACCGAGCTATTGGGTATTTATCTAGCCACTGAATACCTTAAGCTCAATGGTGGTGGAGTTATTTTCTGTGACTCTAAAAGTGCTCTGCAGTCCTTAAATAACCCATCACAATGTATGTCGGAAGTAGCTTGTAATATTAAATGGAATGTAATTTTTGCCAATGATAATAATTCTTGTATAAAATTTGTGTGGATCCCATCCCATGTTGGAGTTGAAAAACATGACTTTGTAGATCAATTGGCCAATGAGGCTTGCAGGAAAGAAAACATTGATTATGATTTTGGACTATCTAATGCAGTTATTAGAAACATACAAATTAAAGAAATTAATTCAGATTTAGAAGAACTAAGAAATGCACAGAGACCTGAAAGCTGCAGTATTAAAAGTTATGACAAGTTCTGTAATAATAGGTATTTGTATGGTCAGCACAGTAACCGGACCAGGCAATGTGATGTAGTAATTGCGCGAATTCGCCTTGGCTATAGACACATCTGGCAGGTTAGTGAGGCTGAGCCACTACCAGAATATTCAGATTGTAAACTCTGTGATAAACCTTTAATGCATTCACTAGAACACTATATTGATGAATGTGAAACCGTAAAGGACTTTAGACCTCCTGGCCTATTGTACCACCAACTGTGTAACTATTTTATTGACTCAGGTGTTCTGGACGACATCCTAACAATTTACCCAAAATTTGCTTGTCCATTTTAAAGAATGAAGAACAATTTCTACTTATATTCTAAGCTGTATCACTTATGAACCCATCCCTGCCCTTGTGTGGCAGTGCACAATAGAAAGTTGTTTTCACATATCCACACATTAAAACATTGATTGTAACCGTGATATATATGTGCTTCAGCCTACAGTTTAGGCCTATTGTCTTATGTATGACCCTCTGTCCTGCGTGACAGTGAATACTAGCATTAACCTCAATTTAATAAGACTATCAAAATCCTCAGATTAGGCAAAATTGTAATTAATTTTGTCAATAAAGATGTTAATAATAATAACTTGTCCTGTCTCGCGTGTTCCTCCTCTTGTTCCTGTCTCGCGTGTTCCTCCTCTTGTTCCTGTCTCGCGTGTTCCTCCTCTTGTTCCTGTCTCGCGTGTTCCTCCTCCGGCTGTCTGGTATTTTCTACTTTTTGACCACCTATTTGTGCCTGCAGGATCGAGTTTTAGCTCATGGACTCCGCCTTTCTAGCTGCCGGTTGTCTAAAGCAAAGACTTGATATATTTCGCTATCATAACTACTTTTAAAAATTATGAAAGAAGCTCCTTTAGTTCATTCTATTTTCCCACTCTTACGCTTAGCAACTTTCCAACAAGTCTATAACTGCTGTGAGTCCAAGGCTTCTATCCGTGCCCTCAATCTTGTTCTATTGGTGTTCATTGTGAACATTTCCCCTTTTTCGACTCTGGCAATCCTCCCTAGGTATTTTATATGTCTCTACCATATCTCCCTCCCCCATCCCCCTCTCTCTTCTCTCTTTTTAGCGATTTACGTCTTGTTCATTCTGAATTTTTTTCATACCCCATCCCACTTAATTCTGGGACGAGCCTCGCGGCAAACTTGTGAACCTTTTTTGAGTTCATGTGTGTTTTGAGGTGAGGGCTTCACGATACGGCGGCATACTCTGAAACTGGTCTCACGTAGGTGGTATACAGTGATACAACTGCCTTCTTATTTAGGTTCCTGAGTGGTGTTCTACCTCTTGTTAGTGTAGAGTATAATTGTATACTTCTGACGTTATCATGTTTATATATGTGCTGCCATAGATAGGATCAGTGTTATATCCTATATATGTGGACATTTTCAAGAGGAAACTAGATTTATTCCTCCAAGGAGTGCCGGACCAACCGGGCTGTGGTGGGTATGTGGGCCTGCGGGCCGCTCCAAGCAACAGCCTGGTGGACCAAACTCTCACAAGTCGAGTCTGGCCTCGGGCCGGGCTTGGGGAGTAGAAGAACTCCCAGAACCCCATCAACCAGGTATCAACCAGGTATCCACTCCCAGAACTATAATCACAGTCCACTACGGGCTCACCATAGCCCGTGCTACTTGGAACGTGTTGTTCCAGGTAGCAAATCTTAAACAACATACCAGAACTTTTGATCTCTTGTTCGTTACAGAAGGGACGTTCCTTCCTTCATTGTGTCTGGTCTTTTGGTCTCTTGTTCGTTACAGAAGGGACGTTCCTTCCTTCATTGTGTCTGGTCTTTTGGTCTTTTGTCGCCGGTTCTAATTTCCATCACCTGATTACTGGTGTTGCAATCTATAAACCATTTCTCAGACCACCTCTGCAGCTTGTTTGAGTCATCTTGGAGAATCTTACATTCCTCATCTGTCTCAACTATTCTCATTAATTTTGCATCGTGTGCAAACATCGACATAAAGGACTCAACTTCTGTAGTTAGGTCATTAACAGTAGTATGTGTGTGTGTGTGTGAGTATGTGTGTGAGTGTGTGTGTGTGTGTGTGTGTGTGTGTGTGTGTGTGTGTGTGTGTGTGTGTGTGTGTGTGTGTGTGTGTGTGTGTGTGTATACTCACCTAGTTGTGTTTGCGGGGGTTGAGCTCTGGCTCTTTGGTCCCGCCTCTCAACCGTCAATCAACAGCTGTACAGATTCCTGAGCCTATTGGGCTCTATCATATCTACATTTAAAACTGTGTATGGAGTCAGCCTCCACCACATCACTGCCTAATGCATCCCATTTGTTAACTACTCTGATACTGAAAAAAAATCCAATATCTCTGTGGCTGTGTGTGTGTGTGTGTGTGTGTGTGTGTGTGTGTGTGTGTGTGTGTGTGTGTGTGTGTGTGTGTGTGTGTGTGTGTGTGTGTGTGTGTGTGTGAATGCGGTATACATTAGAATGTTGTTGACTAGCACGGTATACTGGAAGATGGGCACCAACAGGCTTTCCTAACGCACCAAACAGTTTGGGTTCTGAGGGGACCCCGGAAGACACCACTGTCAACGAGGCCCATTTGATGGTCAACAATGGTAGTGAAGATCATGTTTAGTGAAGATTGTAGTAAATATCGCGTGTAGTAAAGGAATATCAGTACTTGGCTGAACTTACCAATACCAGACTGAAACCTCTGACTGCTGGGTTGAAACTACCAATGCCGGGCCTGAAACTACCAATACCGGGCCTGAAACTACCAATACCGGGCCTGAAACTACCAATTCCGGGTCTGAAACTACCAAACCGGACCTGAAACTACCAATACCGGTCTGAAACTACCAATACCGGGCTAAAACTACCAATACCGGGCCTGAAACTACCAATGCCGGGCCTGAAACTACCAATACCGGGCCTGAAACTACCAATACCGGTCTGAAACTACCAATACCGGGCTAAAACTACCAATGCCGGGCCTGAAACTACCAATGCCGGGCCTGAAACTACCAATACCGGACCTGAAACTACCAATACCGGGGTTAAAACTACCAATACCGGGGTTAAAACTACCAATACCGGGCCTGAAACTATCAATACCGGGGTTAAAACTACTAATACCGAGCCTGAAACTACCAATACCGGGCCTGAAACTACCAATGCCGGGCCTGAAACTATCAATACCGGACCTGAAACTACCAATACCGGGGTTAAAACTACTAATACCGAGCCTGAAACTACCAATACCGGGCCTGAAACTACCAATACCGGGGTTAAAACTACTAATACCGAGCCTGAAACTACCAATACCGGGGTTAAAACTACCAATACCGGGCCTGAAACTACCAATGCCGGGCCTGAAACTATCAATACCGGACCTGAAACTACCAATACCGGGGTTAAAACTACTAATACCGAGCCTGAAACTACCAATACCGGGGTTAAAACTACTAATACCGAGCCTGAAACTACCAATACCGGGCCTGAAACTACCAATGCCGGGCCTGAAACTAACAATATCGGACCTGAAACTACCAATACCGGGCCTGAAACTACCAATGCCGGGCCTGAAACTACCAATATCGGACCTGAAACTACCAATACCAGGGTTGAAACTACCAATACCGGGCCCTGAAACTACCAATACCGGGCCTGAAACTACCAATACCGGACCTGAAACTACCAATACCGGGCCTGAAACTATCAATACCGGGCCTGAAACTACCAATACCGGGCCTGAAACTACCAATACCGGGCCTGAATCTACCAATACCGAGCCTGAAACTATCAATACCGGGCCTGAAACTAAAAATACCGGGCCATAATCTACCCATACCGGGGTTGAAACTACCAATACGGGGACTGAAACAAATGAACAAACACACAACCTGGAGAGACCTAAGACGTTTCAGGTCAGTCTTGGCCCATTAGAGACCTGATGCTTGATAATTCCCAGAGCGGACCAGAGTGCCGTCCAATTTTTACCCCCATTTTATGGGTCTGTTGTTCACCCATTCTGAAGGCCTCAGTGGGGGAAATAGGGGTGAATGGGGGGGGATAAGGGGTCAGGGAAGGAAATGAAGAGGATTAAGTGGATGAAGATAAACGGGGAAGTAGGAGAGAGGAGGAGGAGGATTTTTAAGAGGGGCATTTATGGCCAAATTAAATCAGCTGCGTTTTACACAATGTGACCACAGATTTTTTTACCATTGTACGTTATGACATTATAAAAACTTAATAACGTTAAAAAAATAATAACGTTTAAAAACGTAATATCTTTTAAAAAACGTAATATCTTTTAAAAACGTAATATCTTTAAAAAACGTAATAACGTTTAAAAAACCTAATCACAACGTTTTAAAAATAAATTGTGATTACGTTGCGGTTTTTGCTGGGGGGGGGGACTCATCGAGATGCTCTCGCAGAAAGATTTAGAATTAAGGATAAATGAGTGGCCGGAGGCGCCGACTGCTCGCTCCGGCGGCCCCACACTGTTGCAACATCACCGGCTCCCAATTTTTATCTGATTAACAGCACAAAATGTCTCACATTTGTGTCTCTAAAGCCTGGATGGCTGCTTGATTAGTTGGGTTGGCTCACCGCCCTTAAGCTGTGCGGTTGACGAATTGACTGCCTACTTACATTTTTCGCCTGAAGACTTTATCACATAAAAACTATACATTATGTAAATAATTACATAATGTCAATATTTCATTAAATTTGATAAATTGGAAGACATTGAAATTATTTATCCTAAATTCGTTTGTCCATATAGAAGAAGAAGAAACAGGGACAAAGCAGAAAAGGCGAAGAAAACAAGGAAAAGAGATGAAGAAAATAAGAATTATCTTTTAGTTGCATCATTTACGATTCCATCCCCTGAGCTCTGTGGCAGTAAACAACAGAAAGGTGTATTTACAAATTTGTAAGTTAAAACGTATAATATTTTATGTAGTAGATTTTAACCTTATAAAATGTATTTGCGATTAAATCTACAATTTGGACATGTCTTATGTATGATCTTATGTCCTGTGTGTGGCAGTGAATATGAGCAGCATCCTCACTGTTCTGTGAGGCAGTGAATATGAGCAGCATCCTCACTGTCCTGTGTGGCAGTGAATATGAGCAGCATCCTCACTGTTCTGTGAGGCAGTGAATATAAGCAGCATCCTCACTGTCCTGTGAGGCAGTGAATATGAGCAGCATCCTCACTGTTCTGTGAGGCAGTGAATATAAGCAGCATCCTCACTGTCCTGTAAGCCAGTGAATATGAGCAGCATCCTCACTGTTCTGTGAGGCAGTGAATATAAGCAGCATCCTCACTGTCCTGTGAGGCAGTGAATATAAGCACCATCCTCACTGTCCTGTGTGTGGCAGTGAATAGAAGCACCATCCTCACTGTCCTGTGTGTGGCTGTGAATATGAGCAGCATCCTCACTGTCCTGTGTGTGGCTGTGAATAGAAGCACCATCCTCACTGTCCTGTGTGTGGCAGTGAATATGAGCAGCATCCTCACTGTCCTGTGTGTGGCTGTGAATAGAAGCACCATCCTCACTGTCCTGTGTGTGGCAGTGAATATGAGCAGCATCCTCACTGTCCTGTGTGTGGCAGTGAATACAAGCAGCATTTTCACTACAATAAGACCTAATTCAATCACTTCGATTAGGCAAAATTGTATATTAATTTAAAATAATAAAGACTTATTAAGCTCCACGGAGGTAAATAGTTGCACCATATCTTTGACTGGGGGGACTTCTTAATTCTATTTTTCTACCACAAACGTGGCCATGAGTTTATTTGTGCTAACTGACATATATATACATTTTCTTGTTTACCATTTGCCAAAGCACCATAGTCCCTTTCTGTGGCCGATTGCTCAACAAACCACAGTACTATGTTATGACTAACTGAAGGTGTTAAGAGTTCAGGGGGGTCATTCAACCCTCTCTCCCTCCCCCCCCCATCTCCATCCCCGCAGCACCCCCCCCCCTCCCATTAACTCCCTAACATCTCCCTCCTGCCCCTTCCCCCGCCCCCCACCCCCGCCTACTAGGACCATAGTCATTATATAGACATATTTGAGGAAGGATATTGCCAAACCTGAGAGTGTCACCAAGAGATATTCTTCAGCGCCGAGCGACAAAGACTTCACCAAGGTTCTGATATAAACCATATCAGACCAGTTATAAAAAAATCAGTTTTCAAAAGAGAAGAAAGATTGGCAATTTAATGTCAGTATTTACATTAGTCAAAAAGACACGACAATTCTGATAAAAACGAGACTTTTGTATTGCTCAAATATAACTGACAACTATGGCTGAAACATTTGACAAATAGAGCAGAAAAGTATTTTGGAATTCAATTATAATTCCAGTGTATTAAATGAAATTGAATACATTGGAATTATAATGCTCTCTACCATAGCGTCACAATTCTTACGTTCTAGTGAAGTGATCAGCACTGCAATATGGACGCGCTAATAGAACTAATATGTATCGATACGACAGGTTAAATAGGCTGGTTAAGTTTGAACATTCAAGTTTAGGAAACACCGCCACGAATTCGACGCTTGTCAAAGCTTGTTGCAAATAAACAACTCACCCGGTCCACAACGTCATCTATAGTGTCTTGCGTTCTTATTTATCCTCACCTAACCTAACTTACCCTAACCATAACCCTATGAAACTAAACTTAACCCAACGCAACTTACCTTACCCTAACCCTATGAAACTAAACTTAACCCAACGCAACTTACCTTACCCTAACCCTATGAAACTAAACTTAACCCAACGCAACTTACCTTACCCTAACCCAATAAAACTAAACTTAACCAAACGCAACTTACCTTACCCCTCACCAACCTCACCGAAACCTTAACCTAACCCGACCACTGCCGGCAGCTGGTGGTAAGTTGCAACAGGTGGTGGAGGAGCATCATCTGCACAAAACACATTGAGACATCTGCTTGAGACTTTATTTTCCTGTCCTGGTGAAAGTGTTGATTGGTTGTGTGACTATTTTCACATGTGATCCTTCTTCACCTTTGTCATCTACCCTCATCACTCCCTGCTGTAGCTGTGGCCCCTCCCTCTTCTCTCTCTCTCTCTCTCTCTCTCTCTCTCTCTCTCTCTCTCTCTCTCTCTCTCTCTCTGTCTCTCTCTGTCTCTGTCTCTGTCTCTCTCTGTCTCTCTCTCTGTCTCTGTCTCTCTCTCTCTCTCTCTCTCTCTCTCTCTCTCTCTCTCTCTCTCTCTCTCTCTCTCTCTCTCTCTCCCAACATTCCCCATTTCATGTCGAGCCAAAATAGTCTTGATAAGATTTGCTACTGCCACCTCGTACCAGAGTGAGGGGAGCCCTTCGTAGCACTGAGGGGACACAACACGAGATGAGAGCAAGGTCTCCGGGTACCATGGTAAGGTAAACTACCAGCCTCTCAGGGACGCTGAGAGGCTGGTAGTTTATTTCAAAGCGTAAAGTCTTATAAGAGACAGAGAAGGGACGAGAAATAGACTGACAGACATAGGCAGGCAAACAAAAACGCTTTCCGCCGCCGTCCAAAGAATGATTACGGGGATCAATATTATTGGTCTCCGAACCTAGGATGGAATGTGACCGAATTCTCCTCCAGCATCAGGAATCTCTAATATGAATACTATTAGGAACGTTGACGTTGTGTTTTCATGGAGTAACCTTTCGAAGGAGAGACTATCACATTTACCTAGGCCTTATGTGGTCTCGAACTGCGGACCCTACGAGTGTAAGGCCAAAGCTCTATTTACTGGGCTATGAGTAGTCTAAAAAAAAGAGAGTCTCTCCTTATTTATAAGGAGAAACTATGCTAAAGACTCATAACACACAAACAAAAGATTTGTTGACAAGGTGTTGTAATCAAGGCAAAACTCGTAAACAGATCTGACCAAATTTCTTATATTTTTTTAGGTAATTTACTTATAGGTGTTTTAGGTCTACATAAGTGTACATAAAGATATGTATCTACACATAAATTTGCATAAGTAAACATAAACAGGTATTAGTATATATAATACTCATAAATATACATACAAATGCATATTTATAAGCATGAATAAGTATATATAAACATTCACAAATATGTATAGGTATAAATGCTCAAAAGTATACATAAATTCAAGTATTTACAGAGGCATATGTATAAACATGCATAAGTATACATAAACATAAGTACATATAAACACATTAATATTCATACAAACGTACATATACATAAAGACTCATAAGAATACATAGTATACTGGACGATCACCATGCGGAAAATATATCTCTAGTGATAGGTCTCTAATTTGATTATAAATATGAACTTTAATCATCAGCTGATTGAATTATTATTAATTAGAATCATAAACCCTGCCCTCTTCTCAACGATAAATTAGCTAACAGGTTGTAAACAGATTGTGCTTTAGTTGTAAACAAAATGTAAAAAAGCTGCAGCAACCAACAGGTCCTCTGAAGTCTGAAATGTGGGTTTCATTATCCATAGACTTTTCCAACTTATTTCTCTGTTCTTGTTGATAACTTGATGCAACATTGAATCAATGTTGTTTCAATATAGACAACGTTGATTCAACATTACTTGTGCACGTTTACCCACTGGGAGAGAGA